CATGGGCTTAGTTGCTCCGCGGCATGTGGGATCTTCCCAGAAGAGGGCTCGAACCCGTGTCCCCTGCATTGGCAGGTGGATTCTTAACCACTGCGCCACCAGGGAAGCCCTAATGTTATCTTCTAATGAGGTTGCTTTTCCTCTGGTTCATAACAGTCACCTGAAATAATTAATGCTTGGCCATTCTGAGTGATAAAGGATTTGTTGTTACTGTATTATAGTTCAGTAGTTTGCATTTATCTTTAAATTTTCACCATGTTTATGACTGAACTGTGTGAGTGAACAGGAGTGATGCCGTTTGGGAGGACTTGTCAGTCATTGTGGCGGAGCCTAGCCCGCAGTGAGGGTGACCTCCACACAGCTCTGACTGCCCTGGGTTAGTTCCATGGGGGAAGGAGCCCTCAGGCTTTCTCTTTGGGGCAGCTGGACTGGGCAGGAAACACACAGGATGCCATCCATGCCATTGCTGTCGCAGCTGCTGGATCTCTGGATGGACTTGCTGCCCTACCTGGACCAGGTGAAGCAGAAACAGCCTGGAAGTGGACTCCGACCCTGTGTGGCTAGCCTCTGGCTAGGTGGCCTGGTATAAGCCTCCTACACTCTCTCTACACTTCAGTTTCCACTGTGAAATTAGCAAAAGTTTCCTTCCATCTTTAACATATCATGAAATGTTCTTTTGGGGATATTAACCAGAGTGATGATCAGATACCACAATTTTATGATCCCTCAGTTTTGGGGCCTGAGATATTATTTCTCATTCTATAAACAGTCATTGAGTAATTAATCATTTTCTACCTCAATAATTTTACATATGTGCTGGCCTTGCTGTAAGTTGTCTTTCAAAGGCACACTTACTAACTGGTCCAGGCCAATGGTAATTTATGCTGATCTTAAGATGCTGATAAAATAATTGGACAAATTACAACCTTTCATTCTTTAATTGGAAGCTTTCTGCATAACCTCATGTGTGTTTCATATAAATGTCAAAAAGAATTTTTTTTTTCCCCAAAGAAAAAGCCTGCACCAGGAGAAGGCAATCTGATTTAAAGTGCATACAATATAATGTGCCACTTAGAAAGATATCTGCAGGGCTAAAAATGGAAAAAGTACTGTACAGGAAACGGGTATGGCATACCACCAAACTACAGACTTTATAATACGAAGGGTTAAAAAAATAAATAAAAGCTTAGAGGGAAAGGAAATTGAATTTTCATGATGCAGAGATGAAAAGAACTAGAAGCTATTATTTTCATTGGAAGGGGAAGAAGCTTTGAAATGTAAAAAGGTTCACAAGGCAAAAATACTTTCCTACGTGATAGAGGATTCAACCAAGCATACAAGTGAATTACAGTGTTACTTTTCCAGATTCTAGGTTTAAGAATGGAAATAGCAAGATAAATTCCAGATTTACCTGGAAAGAGCAAACAGACAGTTGTATTGGGATTTAAAGCTTTTTGGGAATACAATGCTCGATATCTATATCTATACATCTATATAAATATATATATACGTATATATACACATACATATGTATGTATACATAGATACACATACATATGTATGTATTTTCTTTTTTTATATATGAATGAATGAATGATAAATCCAATTGATCTTGGCATTCAGTACTAAATAGTTCGTGAAATTAGTATATATAGATATGACCAGTCAATAAATAAACAAATCTTATATTTTCAGCACATTAGTTCCCCTTTATTGACATAATAATGCTACGGAGATATTTAAAGTCTCTAAAGGAGTTTCTACTCCTGTATTTCAATTTTGCAATAATTATATTTTGTTTGTAAATCACAGTTAATATGTTGCTATGTCATTTATAAACTCAATAACATTGGGTCTTCCTATTAAAAAAAGCTGCAATTTAAAAAACTTGCACTGCATAGTGAATTTATATTCAAGGTTCAAGGAAAGGAAAAGGGCACTGAATTCATGTGTCCAGTTTATACAGACCGAAGATTTGGAATGGGTAATTATCTGATAAATTCAGGTGGTCATGAAATTCAGTTCAAATGTAAGTCAGACATCCACGTGAGTACCTATGGTAGGCAGGATAATGATGTTTAAGTCCTAATCCCTGGAATCGATGGATATGTTACATTACGTGGCGTGACAAAGGAGATTAAATTAGCAGATGAAAGTAGGTTGCTGAACAGCTAAATTTAAAATAGAAAAGTTATTCTGGATTATCCAGGTGGGTCCATGGTGATCACAAAGGTCCTTCCATGTGGAAGAGGGAGGCAAAAGAGAAAGAGAGTAATTCCACATGCAAAGAACTCAACTGGCCTCGTTGCCTTGAGGATGGGAGGGGGTCGCGAGCCAAGAGGGCAGCTTCTAGAAGCTAGAAAAGAAAGGCAAGGGGAGTTCCCTGGTGGTCCAGTGGTTAAGACTCCACACTGCCAATGCAGAGGGCCCGGGTTTGATCCCTGGTCAAGGGAACTAAGATCTCGCATGCCGCAACTAAAGATCCCGCGTGCCGCAACTAAGACACAGCACAGCCAAATAAATAAAAAATAAAAAATATTAAAAAAAAAAAAAAAGAAAGGCAAGGAACTGAAATCTCCCCCAGAGCCCCTGAAGGAACATCACCCTGCTAACACCTTGCTTTCAGCCATGTAAGACCCATTTCTGACTTCTCACCTCCAGAACTATAAACTAATAGAGCTGTGTTGTCTTAAACCACCAAATTTGTGGTTATCTGTTACAGCAACAATAAAAGATTAACACAGTAACCATCTAATGAGTGGTCAATTCTGCAATTGTTTAATTATGACCGAGACTGATTCTTGTCCATTCTCCAAATACCTTGGCCATTTTCCTTTTAGAGAAACCTAAGAACAAAGTTATAAGAATGAGAAGCAATTTCCCTAATAAATACATATTGATTCCTATATCACTTTGAAAATTCATTAGCAAATGAATACAAATACATTTTTAATCTCTTACTAAGAAATAAAATAAGATTACATTTTAGAAAAGAAATATGCAAATCTTTATTTTACATTATGTTCTTTATGTTAATAATCATATATGGAAACATAGTGTGTTTCCTAAAGCATACCTGACAGTATTTCTAAAGTTTTAAATATGACTTTGATATCCATCTACAGGATTAGTAGAAACACCTGCCAAAAAAAAAAGACCAATTGTGTCTTGAAGTGGTGAGTTACCCATCACTGGGGATAATCAACGCAAAGACCTAGTCTAGATATAGCAAATGGTTTTCTTACATTTAGTGGGAGAGTGGGTTCAACGAGCTTGAAGTCTCTTTCTGGCTTCCAGTTTACAGGAAGTTTTCTTAATACAGAGAAAAACATTAGCAGTGAAATTGTTGGCAGAAGCGTTGATATTTGAAACAGCCCCTGTTAGACGTAAGGAGCGGGAAACAGGGCTCCTCAGAGACTTTTGCAACATTATCTGATCAATACCAAAGTGAAATATCAATATGATTTAAGAAGAAAAGGAATAAAGAAGGACACACTTAACAATTATGGAACTATATGATTGTTTGCTGAGTATTTAAAAATGATCAAAATTGCAACTGTTGAGTTCAGAACTCTTATTTGCAAGTCAGGAAAACTGTTTTGTTTTTTTTTTTACACCAGCTGGAAGAGGTTATTATATAACATTCATCACTTGAAATATTTTCTAATAAATTAAACTATGGTAATTTTCTTAAAATTCAAATCGAATCAAGGTGCTCAGTATTCAAAAACAAACAACAAAACAAAACAAAAAAACGACAACGCTTCAAATAAAATGCTGTATGTTTAGTGTGGTTTTTTTTTACAGCAGCAAATGCCATTCAAGTGGTATGCAGGCAATCTATTCCTCTTTTTAAGCCAACAGAAGGAATGTTGTAAAATTACCTGATGATTATACTAGTAGGTATGAGTTCATAAGACAGTAGCAATCCTTATACAAATGAAATGCTCTCATGGAAGGAAAAAGCCACTTTATTTATGCCACATCTATTTCCTGTGCCTGATTATCTCATATGAAACCCTTATCATCAGATCAGCTAAGGGACACACTTGCCTAGGGTGATTAAATACTGGAAGGCCTAACATTCTCCAGAATCCAGAGCTGTTTGGTTATCTCCATACAGCATATCCATTTAGGGCAATAACATGGCACCCTGGAAAGGCCACTTTGATAGATGGGGTCCTCTGTTTACCAAGAGTGTCAACAAGATGTTCAATTTTTATTCCTTCCAAACCAACGTCCCTTTTCTTTTCTGTATCTCAGGACCGACTCCATTCCAAAGTAGGATGGGGACGGGCGGCAGTTTTCTTCATATTGACCACAAGCACAATTAGCTTCTGTGATGAACCCAGAGTCCACACTGTCCCTTAGAAAAGGTATAAAAGATGAGGATCCCTCTCTGTGAATAACTTGCAAAGTGTCAGGTCTACACTGTCTTGCTCCTGTCATGTTCTCCACTTAACTTTTACTCATTAGGGGCTGGGGGCCTTTGAGGTCTTCAGAACCCCCTGTTAAAATGCTTATACTTCTAGGTCAGTGACTGGACGTCTCTAACACAAATACAATTAAAGACACCAGAGATCTGCAATTAGGGACCGTCAGGGCAGGCGAAGAGAATTTACAAAGCCAAAACCTTGGCTTTGAAATATAATCTGGGACCTACCTTATTTCAGAGGTGTGATTTACTGAAAGCCTGGTTAGTCCTAAATTGTTACCATTCCCCAAAGGCAAAGTGTGTTACCTAAATTTAGCATTCCCAAGAGACTAAAAAATACCATTAAAGTGCAAGTATACCAGTTTGTTTAGGTGTGATTTTTTTAATAGAAAACAACCAAACATCATATAATAAAGTCCAAACTTAAAACACATAAGGAGTTAAAATGTTACCTTTGCATTTTGACATGCTCAGTTATTGGAGAAAAATGTTTAAGAAATCTCTTCTGCAAGATTAGAACAGCAGAATACATTTTTTTTCAGTGAATACTAAGTGATAAACTTACATCAGAATTAAATCTCAGCTGGCAAATGTTGCATGATATGATTTGCTTTCTTCGATGAGGGAGAGGGACCCCGAAAGTATGATTTATTACAGCTTTCTGAATCGGGTCCATCTGTAATGAGAAAAAAAATACAACAAATAGAAATAAAGCTTGTCCGTTCCATTGGAATGTTGCCTATTTCATTAAAGAACCAATCTGTACAGCTTCAATCTACGGCTTACATTATAAAGAACATTTTTATTCTAAGAAATGGCATTTCTACTTTCTTGAAAAATAGACAACGAGCCCGCAGCGCAGTACGATAAGGAAATGATAAATGTACCCATTAGAGTCTGCATGCTAAACCGTTCTTCTCATTTAGGATCAACAATTGCCTCAGTTTGATAATCCTCACATATAATTAAAGGTTTATCCAAACTCAAGTTATTGTGAATGCCAGAAACCTTACACAGAAGTTAGTCTATGCCATTGGCCCAAACGGACTTCAGAATAGACTTAGTCAGATGAGCAGCTATGAAAATAACTTAAGCCCCATTATGGATAATTAACCTTATGCTATGTTTGGTATCCTTCTGCCTTAAGAGTGTGGTATAGATTTCCCCTGCTATCTGAGAGTAGAAGCCACTACCTTAGGGCACATCTTGCTAACGGCTGCACAGTGTAAACCTAGATAAAGCACAGAGGTGCACAGACACAGTTCAAAGCCATGGCGGCTGGATGCTGAGTGTAGTTGCCTGGGGAGGGGATGGAGCTTAGAGATGCCAGCCTTGCTGGTCAGGGTTCATGCTGCCTCTGTAAGAGCTGCTGCAAAACAAAGGCTGAACATCACTTTCGCTGTTTGCCTTTTTGTGTAGAAATGAAAATCCTCTTTGGATTTCCTTTGGTTAGCAGAAACAGGTACTAATACAGATCTTTGGTCAAAGCGAGGTGACAGAAAGAGAATTTTGGAAAAGCAAGGGTTACCTGTACACAAATCCTGCTTTCTAAGTATTCAGACATGGAGCTATGGATTCTTTCAACAATCATTTACTGATCACCTAATACATACTGCTATCCTATGGACTTACTGCTTGAGGTTCAGAGAGTTTGGGCCAGATGTCAGTTACTTCTCTTCATTCCATTCCCAGGACAGGACAAGGGACACCCAAAACATAATGTCAGCAACCTAGCTCTGATAAAATTTCATGTCTCCTCACCAAGATTTGTCCCAGGGTCCACATCAGTGATTCTCAACTGTTAGATACAAATTTTGATCTGTTTCTTAATACTTGTGCTACCTCTTTGCTCATCTGCATCTATCTCTTAAGGTTGTGATGAAGTTTAAACATAATGACTCTTGAAATTACTGAGCACAGTACAGTGCCGGGCACATTAAGAACTCAATAAGTGGTGCTGGGAAAACTGGACAGCTACATGTAAAAGAATGAAATTAGAACACTCCCTAACACCATACACAAAAATAAACTCAAAATGGATTAAAGACCTAAATATAAGTCCAGACACTATAAAACTCTTAGAGGAAAACATAGGCAGAGCACTCTATGACATAAATCACAGCAAGATCCTTTTAGACCCACCTCCTAGAGTAATGGAAATAAAAACAAAAATAAACAAGTGGGACATAATTAAACTTAAAAGCTTTGGCACAGCAAAGAAAACCATAAACAAGGACAAAAGACAACCCTCAGAATGGGGGAAAATATTTTCAAACGAAGCAACTGATAAAAGATTAATCTCCAAAATATACAAACAGCTCATGCGGCTCAATATCAAAAAACCAAACAACCCAATCCAAAAATGGGTTGAAGACCTAAATAGACATTTCTCGAAAGACATACAGATGGCCAACAAACACATGAAAAGATGCTCAACATCACTAATTATTGGAGAAATGCCAATCAAAACTACAATGAGGTATCACTTCACACCAGTCAGCATGGCCATCATCAAAAAATCTACAAACACTAAATGCTGGAGAGGGTGTGGAGAACAGCGAACCCGCATACACTGTTGATGTGAATGTAAATTGATACAGCCACTATGGAGAACAGTATGCAGGTTCCTTAGAAAACCAAAAATAGAACTACCATATGACCCAGCAATCCCACTACTGGGCATATACCCAGAGTAAACGATAATTCAAAAAGACACATGCAGCCCAATGTTCATTGCAGCACTATTTACAATAGCTAGAACATGGAAGCAACCTAAATGTCCATCAACAGGGGAATGGATAAAGATGTGGTGTATATATACAATGGAATACTACTCAGCCATGAAAAGTAACAAAATCGGGTCATTTGTTGAGACATGGATGGACCTAGAGATGGTCATACAGAGTGAAGTTAAGTCAGAAAGAGAAAAACAAATATCGTATATTAACACATATATGTGGACTCTCAAATGGTATAGATGATCTTATTTGCAAAGTAGAAGTAGAGACACAGAGGTAGAGCACAAATGTATGGATACCAAGGGGGAAGGGGGGATGGTAGGAATTGGGAGATTGGGATTGACATATATACACTATTGATGCTATGTATAAAATAGACAGCTAATGAGAACAGACTGTATCGCACAAGAACTCTGCTCAATGCTCTGTGGTGACCTAAAGGGGAAGGAAATCCAAAAAAGAGGGGATATATGTATACATATAGCTGATTCACTTTGCCGTAGAGTAGAAACTAACACAACATTGTAAAGCAACTATACTCCAATAAAAATTAATTTAAAGAAAGAGTCAAGGGGCTTCCCTGGTGGCACAGTGGCTAAGAATCTGCCTGCCAATGCAGGGGACACAGGTTTGAGCCCAGGTCCGGGAGGATCCCACATGCCGTGGAGCAACTGGGCCCGTGCGCCACGACTACTGAGCCTGCGCTCTGGAGCCCGTGAGCCACAACTACTGAGCCCGCGCGCCTAGAGCCCGTGCTCTGCAACAAGAGAAGCCAGCGCAATGAGAAGCCTGCGCACCGCAAGGAAGAGTAGCCCCTGCTCGCCGCAACTAGAGAAAGCCCGCGCGCAGCAACGAAGACCCAATGCAGCCCAAAAATTAATTAATTAATTAAACCTAATAAATAAATAAATAAATAAAAATGAGTCAATAAATGTTGTCTATTACATTTTCCCTTTTGCACATCCCATGTGATGATCAAGGTTAACAGGTGCCTCACACTCCTGTGGTCTTTGTTGGCACACCTTCCATTTCTCACATGGCCAAAAAACATTTCAAAATCATCCCAATGTTGTACATACAGCCATCGTTTTTGTTGAATGCTTGTAGACTTTGGAACTCTTAACTCTCATCAGATACAAACTTCTTATGAGAGTCTTCCCAATGGGTTGAGCTAGCTCAGAAAAGATTTGACATACACACAAAAGCTAAGAACATGTCTGTGAAACGATGCTCTAATATTCAGCTTCTGGGATACATAATAGTTCAGTAATTAGCCTAAACCAGTCATTGATACATTCCACCTCCTTTTGTGTATTTCAAATCATCAGAACCAGCTAACTCATAAGCCCTCTTCACTGGTTAGGAGCAAGGTTCTGTCTGCATTCACAACTCCTAAAAGGTTGTCTAGACACTCTTAGTGCACTGTTCTAAGTAATAACAGCAACAACATCAACAAGAGAATTAATAGCACTCAGCATTTATTAAGTGCCTCCATGTGCTAAGTACTAGGCTGGGTGGTTTATATATTAAACAGTTATGATCAGGAAGAACTCATGGGTTCTCATTTTTATCTTCCATCATCACTTTAAATTTTTTCTCATGTTAATCCCAGATTCTGGATGAAGCTCAACGGCCCCATGATTTTTCTGGTCACTTCCAGGAATTAACACATTCCAGGATCCCCTCCCTCCCCCTCCAATTCTACCATATTTTCTTTTTAACCAGTTTTATTTAAGTGTAATGGATGTATAATAAAATTCACCAATCTTAAGTGTACGATTTGATGAGATTTGACAAATAGATACAGCCTTAATAATTATCATATAGAATATTTCCATTACCCAGAAAGTTCCATCCTGCCCTCTGTGGTCCATTCCTACCTCCACCCAGCCTCTGTAAGCACTGGTCTGCTTTCTGTCACGATATTTTTCCATCTTCTCAAAGTTCATATACATGGAATTGTACAGTATGTGCTCTTTTGTGTCTGGCGTCTTTCATTCAGTATGATGCTTTTAAGATTCATCCATGTTGTTGTATCTATCAGCAGCTAATTCCTTTTTATTGCCAAGTAGTATTCCTTCATACGGATATACGCCAATGTGTTTATCCATTTGTTAGTTGATGGATATTTGAATTGTTTCCAGTAAATTCTATAACTTTTTCAAATCTTAATACATAATCTAAGCGCATTCCTAAATTCAGTTCAGCATCTTAATCCAAGCATTAAAAATTAACATAAAATTACAGTTTCTTGATCTTAGCTTGAACCTGCTCTAGAGGAATAGTGTGAAAGGTCAAAGGGCATGGTACAGAATTCTTCTCTATATACACTGCCAAGTCCCCCACCCCAGGTAAGTCAAACTTCCATCAACCTCACCTCACCCCTATTTCCTCAGAACCAAAACGGACAATGCATAGAACTTGAGAAACCCATTGACCACACAGATGAGTGAATCTGGGAGGCTTTGAGAGCCCACTTTCTGCTGCCCAGGATCACTCTTATACGACTCTAAAAATGCCATCACAATGCTTCTGTGACAGCACAGAGAACACCGGGGCATAACTTCGCTTTCAGCCAACAGCCAGAGAAAAATTAAAAGCTGAAAGAGGTACTGATGTAGAGGTAGCTGTCTCATCATGTTCTGCTGTATCTGTTCTGTCTGCACAAACGGGGTCCATTTCTATTAGGGATCAGGTGAATTATGCCTATATTTCATTTAGGAACACTGAAGCCCCCTTATAATGACACTTTGAAATAAAAATGAATTACAGATTTATACTAAGGGCTCTCTGAAAATACACACTGTTGAGTTTTTATCATATTTTGCAAGTAACATATTATTTTGTCTTTCATTAACACTGGACACTTGCAGTGACCACATTCGATCCGGAAAAGAGTAGGAGGTATTTTGGAAGTAGACACTTCATACAAATGTGT